GGTCACACAACTTCCTGTAAGTGTGCAGAAATCCTAAGCATTGGTTCATGATTTTAAATACCTTTTTGAAGGCAGAGTTCTTCCCTTCAGCTAAATCTTAAGACAGAAAGTACACACCCCAAGGGTGTGTTTTGGTTTTGCAATACAAATCTCCATACCTCAATGGTTGTCGTTTTGGACTCTCAGTCTGCATCAAGCAGCTAATGCCCTCAAAACTTCTTAGGAAGGATACCACAGGATGAATGGAGAACAGCAACCTAATTCAACTCATGGCAAGAAATGCAGCAAGGCTGTGGATTGACTACAAGTCCAAATTAGCAGCTAGAAACCAGAAAGCAACAATTAGTCTTACAAATGCTGAAAAATCAGAACCAGCTGAGGTAGCACAAACTTTGCCCTCCACAGATGCAGACTGACAGGTACAGGGACCAAATGGATGATGAGGAAGGGTGAAAAGAAAGCAAGTCTTTAGGCATCTTCGGTAGCTTGTCCTATGTTTACAGCTTTTTGTAAAAATACTTAAAAAAAAAATCTTCACAGGAAGTTGTGAAGGGGCAAATCTCTCTTGTTCAAATTTCTTCATGCTAAGCTGAAGCACAGAAATACTTGAAATAGCACATAACCCACAGCACACCGTTTGCATTTGAATGCAAGCATCTGGGGTCTGCTTGTGTTTGTCCTCATCTGTAGCATCCAGAATAAGCCACGGAAGAATGGGATAGACACAGTGGAACAGAATAAAATAACAATAGCTCCATTTTATTTCTCAAGCGACAGATGAAATAATATTCTCTTACTTATTGCTCATAACTGAATGTTTCAGAGCTCAGTTACAATACTGCTGTGGTAGGCAGTCCTCAATACTGTATCAGTGGTGGGCTAGAAAACACGGAGTTGAGGACATCAGTTTGGAAGCAGAGCAGCAAAGACAGAATTAAAAATTCAGCTCAGCGCCTGCCTGTTTGAGTGATGCACAGAGCTCCAATGTAGCTTCTGATCCAGAAGCTGTGCCTGCTGTGCCACTCCCAGCAATAAATTGCCTTTTACGTACATGGATAAGCAGTCTAATCAAATAAGGATTTAAAGCAGGATGTGCTCAGAGGAACTGCTGATTTCTCTTAAAGCCTGCTATTGCTCGCTCTGAGCTTCTGTACATATTAAATACTGTATGAGATTTTTCAGAGGGAAAAGGTGAGTACAAATACCAAGGTAACCAAATAATCTGCTCACCTGCAGTGTGCAAATAAGTATCTCTTCTCAGATTTTTTTGTGCCACTCTCCTCTCCATGGGGCACACTCCTGCCCGTGAGAAACACCACTTAACACCAAAAACTACATCAGCTGCTGAGAATGACCTGGTTTGTAGCACATTTGCATCACTGCCCCTTGAGAAATAATTTGCAGCCAGAATGCCAAATCATCTGCTACACAAATGACCTCCTTATGCTTTCCAAGCTTTGTCGTAACAGCCATGGTCATACAGACCTCTTTCTGCAACACTTGCACTGATCCTTTTTCCCCTGCCCCAGAATGAACAAAAGACAGCCAGCAGTATCCTTCCTTACACACCTGGAATGTGCTGCTACAACATGTGCCTGTCACCCTAATAGGGCATTTACACATTGGTCACATGCTTAGCAAAAAAATCCTCACTTCATGTAAGTGCTGGTTTCTACCCTTCAGAGTTCTGGGGGTCTTCCTACATATCCACCAAGGCATCTTCTGTTTAAGCCAACAGACGTCAACTGGTGATGAACACCTGCAGATAGGGACAACTCTTAAATTTTACCCTAACTTTCTGCCACCATCTCTGCTGGAGTTCTGCAAATAACCAGAAGTTTTAAAAGGCTGCTTTTAGCACAGAATTTTGTATTTTGGATTCCGCACCTTAAAACTATGGCTGTAAAACTGCCTTTCTAGGTAGTAACTTCAAACATATCCTGTATTCTAAAGTAAACTCAAATGTCCAACTGCTGCATTGTGATTCACCTGATCGCCAAGCATTAATAAGAAAATCTTCAGATTGTTGAAGAAAACATTATCTATGCAGCTGCTATACTCCAGGAGTAACTCTAGATTCTATTTCATGTAATTCAAATTCATTGCTTAGCATGAAGACTTCAAAAATAACAGACACAAACCTTCAGGCACAAATATTTTCCAATGACAGAACACCACCTATCTATCACAGATGAACCTTTGGTAGTGGGCTGGCAGGAAGACATAAGGGAAATTTTAATGTATTTCTAGTTTAGTTTCTAAAAAAATAATTAAACTCCAAGACGTGAAATTGAAATTTCTCAACAGCTAATAATGGATAAACTGCAAAATAGGCCATGACATTTCTAGCAAGGAGAAAATCTAGTAAAACCCAGCACCTTCTTAGAAATTAGAGGAATTAAGCCCACAGTACAGATTCACAGGAAACCAGATCTCATTTATTTTGCTGCTCACAGAACTAATTGTTCAATTTTGGGAAAAAACTACTTTTGTCAGAGCTGTGTCTTCCAAAGCAAAGATTATTCATTCCTCAAGGTGAAAACTGTTCATGAAGAGCTCTGCAGTAAAGCGTGGAACTAGAAACTGAAAGTATCACAAACAAAAAAAAATGAACTATATCATTAGCCATCTAACTTGCAACCCAGCCTAAGAGAACAACTATTTTCAACTGTGATTCCTTACATGTAATTTATTATTCAGATGCTGTGTGTGTGAGATGCTCTTACCTAGGTTATTTTTCAACTTTTCCACTGACTCAGACTTTCTAAGTCAATGGTTCTAACAAAAGGTATTTAATGAAACATTTATCTTTTTAATGAGAGCTGCAATCGTTCTTGGGAATGTTATGAAGTCCAATTTTACTAGTATTTCACTGCTCCACAGATTCGGCAGCTGTGATGTATTTCCTTTTCCATGGGTTTAGGAAGAGTACAGAGACTAAGAAATTCAATAATTTCAGAGCAGAATTTGAAACTGACTGACTAGTGTTCAAAGCTAGGATACTGTTTCCTTTAGAAGATGGGAATGACCTCAACAAACTTTCATTAAAACCAATATGTAAAACCAAGTATACAGCCAATGTTATGAACAAGAATGCTGATGTTGAAAGAGAACAGGATTTCTCCCCATTACTGAAAACTATTTCACCTAGCACAGCCCAAACCTGATAGTGCGTTCTTTAATTTTTGCTGCCTCGTAACTCCCAGTATGAGAATGTACTTTTCATTGAACTTTGCAATGCTTTGAACAATTTTTAGTATAAGCAAAACCACAAAAAAATCAAGGTAGGCAAAAAGTACTCAGGAGACTGTGATAGACTTTTTCTTTGAGATATCTTAGCTTCTCTCATCTCATCAGGAAATAATATCTTACTAATTTTAGGCTCTTTTTTCCCCTAAAAATTAGTATTGCATTTGAGATCAGGAGTCAGATTTCTGTAAATCACTTAACAGTTAATATACTTTTGCTCCCATGTCACTTCAAAGCCTCTGAAATTCCCATTCCATTTCAGTATGTAGGAGGGAGAAGAAAATTTAGAAGAATGTCCTCACCAACAAGCATTAACATTACCAAGAATAGAGGAAATTGAAACTTCAAGCAAAAAACCCAGGGGAATGATAGCCGTGCAGAAAGAAAACAAACCGAGCATTTTGAGGACCTAACAGTATTGGCATTTCCTCTGCTACAGAAATGATACGCTTTCAAATGATCAATAAGGTGTTCTTTCCCCGCCCCAAAGGGCTCTCTACAACTACAGGCTGAGACTGCTGATTGTGCCTTATAATTGTGGAGCAGAGAAAAACATGGTGAAGGATAATTACGAATTCAGCTATCTTTTTTTTTCCTTTCAACCCCTTCATGATCTCATCCCCAGCCCTCTCAAGCTACCTTACAAGTAGGAGCACATCTTCTTCCCAACCTGTGCTTTGGGAAAATGAATCCACCACTACTCGGTGCATTTTGCCCGTGTCCTAAATGCATACTAATCCTTACCGCAATGGCACACCTCCTTCTCTTGTGTTTTAAAGAAATCAATAATTTATTTAGTCTGCTGAAGCTGATTATTTGTGAAACTAATCCATTAACTGCCATTTGGCATAATATTACATCTTGCGAAAAAAAGCTGTTCCAAAGACAATGACAGTCCCATCTCTGGCCTTTCATTCAACCATGTATTATTTTTCTTAAAGAAGCACATTAGCAACGTGACGTCCAGAGCTGTGGCTATATCTGAAATTAATATAGACTAAGTGAAGCTGCCTTCCTGCAAGAGCAGCACACAACAGAGTCTGAATGCTGTGACAGAGATCTCTCTGTTGCAGCAATGCCACAACCAAGAGCAAGAACCTGAACGGGAGGAAATACCATTCTCCCTCACAGCTGTCTGCTGTGGAAGGAAGATGCAAACATGGGACTGCTGCTACCTGACTGGTCCACAGCCCAGCCTGTGCACTGGCAAAAATGGGAGGAAGGAGAGGAGATACCCATTTGACCGACTAACCAAGAGCTAAATGCACGACCAGTCAAATACTGCCAAGTTGCACTTAGCAACTTCCAGTTGATATTTACACTTTTCTCAGACACTTCGGTCTGCAACTAATTTTTTAGCTGAAGGTTTGCCAAAATGTCTACATCAGATAATGTAGATACTTACCATGTAAATTAAATACCCAAACCAAGGAAGGACTTGCTAATTCTCATTGTCAATATATTTGTCAATTCTCATTGTCATATATCATGGAGGTTCCAAATGTAAATTAACATATTTCAGGGAAAACATTTACAACAGTATGAAGACGCCACTGCATGGGTGGCACAGCAGTTATCTTCCAAGTATTCATTGTAATTTAATTTATAACTTAAGAACATTGGGATGTTTACTTTCCTGTTTTTCAGCTGGGAAAGTATATCAATAGAAGTAAGAAACTGTATTTTAGCTTTTGGTGGTAATTTTTCACCATGGAAATATTTCCCTTTTTCTGTGTTAACAGTTTGCATACCAACTTCATCCTGGATTTCCTCTGCTACAGCAGGCACGTTGTAGAGGAAGGAGAGAGACTGGTTCATGCGTTCATATATCACACGTAGATGTGTCATAACCTATGGAAAGAAAGGCATTTTAAGGAGGGGAATACTGCTGCTAATTTGACATTATTACAAATTTTATAGGTTATAGAAAGCATAACAGCTTTCACCTGTGCTAGGTATAAGATTCCAGCATGCTCTATGGACTGAAACTGTCAAATCCACTGCAAAATTCACCTCTCTCCTACAGCTCCTACAAAAATAACGTCCCAGATGCTCTTCCATAGCAAAAACCTGAAACCTCATGGGAATGCAGTAATTTAAAGTACGGGTTTACATTTGCTGTGAGGCAGAGCATGTACACAAGCAGCTATTGTGGCAGAAATCCACAGCCTCATTTACCCTTCAATAACATTTACATTTGCCCATTCCCATATGTTTCCACATAACGTGCAAACCAAGTGAGGCACAATGATTACTGCATCGAAATGCTTCAGCTGTTTGGCTGTTTGTTTTTTTCTTTATCCTAATGTTGTAAAAAGAAAAAAAAAGCTCCAATTTTATTGATAAAAACATTTGCAAATATTTTCAGCTGAAAATAAAAATATTTCCACCCAGAAGCATTACTGCATTGTCTGAAGTGATTACAACTCCATTGCCTCAGGTTCCTGCTATGGGTTGAATCATGACATACCACGATATATGCTCCCACAAGGTACTTGCAATGAGCATCACCTCTCTTCAGTAGAAAGGGAAACTGAGTTGCATCTTAGAAGACTGACAGGGCAATTAAGCCTGAAGAGGGGAATGGCTTGCAAAGAGCAGTTTAAATGAGAAAAATGGTATGATTTATTAAAATTGAAATACAATATTTATGCTTTTGTACAAAATACTTTGTTTTCCATTTTCCACTGAAGAAAATTCCACATCAGACCCTTCAGTCTACATTTCCCCAACCTTCGGACCAGTTCAAGAACCAAAGATACTGTAAAAATACTAATTCCTATGATGATACACTAAGCAACACAGTGCACTTCTTGTATCTAAAGGCCAGTTTCCATTCTTAACCTACACTGCCACATAACTGGTAGTCTGCAAAATTTCACTGTTTTTTGTCATTAAGAAATCCAATGTTTTAGACACTAAAAGTTCAAGTTAGATGAAAAAGGACATGCTTTAATGCTTAAGACATGGGAAAGAACCATCACTGCAGAAGACTGCTAGAAGTGTGCATTTCTAACTACAGCAATTTCAAGGCAGCCTGACTTCAAGCTCAAGTCTGGCTGGAATAGATGTTTGAGAAGTCTAATATGCAAATTGTGCCCTTCAGGGAGGTATATGGTTTTGATACGGCTTTTAGCAGTGCCAGGCAGTTCAAAAACTGTGGCTGGAGCAGCGCTTCCCATTACATCCTGCAGAGGGAACAGCAGCCGATTCTGCAGACTACAGCTCCCTTTATTCACTGCTTATCCATTGTGCCTACAATTTTAATTGCTGCTTCGAAAGCCAGCTACATCTTCAGTTTTTTGTTTTTTTGTTGTTGTTTTTTTTGCTTTCTCACCCTCCTTGATTTATGAATGCAACATAAAAGCTCTTCCAAAACATATATGTTGAGGACTGCAGTAACATTCAGCAGTTAAAATGCCATGAACTACAGTGTCTATTTTAAAAGAACATGTTAAACTTGAGTGCATTGCAGTAATCACATTTATAGACAGCACAAGTACCTCTGCAATCACTACAGAAAGGTTGGTTGCAGATGGCTACACCACTTCTGGTTCTGTCACTTCAGCTGAGGGAAGCATAACCATGTGTGGTCACTACATCTATTACTGACATTTTCCCAGAGGTATTATTTACCAAAGCACCAATAAAGGCTCTGCGCATTAATGCTGTGGAGGGTTCCTCAGGAAATGCTCATGACTGACTCACTGTCTGAATAGACAGAAAATCTGCTTTTCACTTCTCAGAAGACAAATTCACCCTACTCCTACATCACTTTGCCTTAATCTTCTGCCAGATTATTTTCATTCCATGTAAAGCTGTCCACAGAAAGGAGTCAGCTATTTTTCTTTTAAATAGCTCGACAGAAACTTCAAAATGGTTATGAACAAACACAACATCATTAACACTCAGTGGAGATTACCTGAGATCTGATTTGAGCAGCTTTCTTTGGGTCTACCATGCGGACATGTTCAAAGTGTTTGAGAGTATGCTGTCTGTCCTTCTGCTCAGCACGCACATACTTCTTCAGCATGTTGAATACATGACGAGGCTACAGGGGAGAAACGGGGAAAAAAATCAGTTTAGTTTAGAGTAACAAGTTTTGGTTTCTTGCACTGGAAGTGTCTCCCAAACCAAAAGCACTTGGCCAGCCGGTGCCTGTAGCTGTCTTCTGAAGGCAGGCCTGACTACTGTAAGGAACATAGAATCATAGAATGGTTTGGGATGGAAGGGACCTTAAAGATCATCCAGTACCAACCCCCCTGCCATGGGCAGGGACACCTCCCACCAGACCAAGTTGCTCAAAGCCCTGTCCAACCTGGCCTTGAACACTTCCAGGGAGGGGGCATCCACAACGTCCCTGGGCAACCTGTGCCAGTGTCTCACCACCCTCACAGTAAAGAATTTCCTTCTAATACCTAGTCTAAATCTACCCTCTTCCAGTATAAAGCCATTTCCCCTCATCCTATCACTACCTGCCCTTGCAAACAGTCCCTCCCCAGCTTTCCTGTAGGACTCCTTCAAAAACTGGAAGGCCACAATAAGGTCCCGCCGGAGCCTTCTCTTGTCCAGGTTGAACAGCCCCAACTCTCTCAGCAAGTTCTTGTAGGGGAGGTGCTCCAGCCCTCTGATCATCTTCCTGGCCCTCCTCTGGACCCACTCCAACAGCTTGATGTCCTTTTTGTGTTGGGGGCCTCAGAGCTGGATGCAGTACTGCAGGTGGGGTCTCACCAGAGCAGAGCAGAGGGGCAGAATCACCTCCCTCGCCCTGCTGCCATGCTTCTTTTGATGCAGCCCAGGATGCAATTGGCATCTACTCACTCAACCCATCTGGCAGGATGCACTGCTGAATAGCAGTTGTAGGTAGTCGATACTATCACATTTCCTGTTCTAACTGCTATGCTATTGCCCCAACAAGACAGCAAGTGCCACCCTAGCATGCTAACTAATGGACACCCAACTTCGATTTCCTTCAGGCTTTGCTTCCACTCTCCACCAGACTCTACTTCTCCTTTTCCTCAACTCCATAATCCATGCTGCCAGTTATGCAACCTTAACCACCACCAGGCAAATCCCTTCCAGAAGCACCCTCAAAACCTGGACTCCATTGGAATAATTTCAAAGATTCTCCATATAAGCTCTACTATACTGAATACTCAACTAGTATCAACATCTGTCAACTACAGTTAAACTTTAGCAACAAAAAAATATTACAACTGTTAAGTTTTATCAACAGTAAACTGAATTCAGATTCAGATCAGAAGGTAACCTGCCCAACAGCTGCACAGAAGACCATGTGGAAGCACTACTCTATCTAAAGCCAAAAAATAATCATCAGACTTGACTGCAAAACATAAAAAAACCAACTTAAAAATATTTAAAATAAAAAAAATAAAGTAAAAACCTGTTTGATTATTCTTGATTCACATTACTTAGCTTGGATGCCAGATTTTGTAAAAATCTTAGCCTATGTATACATTGCAGGTGATCTTAAGTAGTAAAAACTGTTGAATATATACCTTAAGGCACATAAACAAATAGAAACAGAGGAAATGTCTGTAGCTGAAGGGAATATGAAACTATATGCAGGTTGAGGGCAGAGCAGTGAAGACTAAGAAATGCGTATTTTTATATATTTTCCTACTCTGTACAATAACACACTGCCAAAACAGGGACGTGTTCTCTAGCAGTCAGCTAAGACATTCATTTTTAACTTGGTGGTTATGATGAATTCTGGAAATCCACCCCTTCTCCCCAGCTCTGCTTGTACTCTTGTGCTTGTGCATCCTACCTGAAGCTGCTGAGCAGTGAAAAGCATGAAGCTGTGGCAGGAGAGACGAAAGGGAAAGACTGAGCAGAAGTGGTAAACAGCTGGTCAGGCACTGGTAGGGATACAGGGAAGAGGGTGAGGAAGTGACAAAATAAGCATCAGAGGCTCCATGCACAGATTTCCGAAGCAGGAAGAACCGTGGGCGAAGTTGAAGCTTTAAGAAGACTTAGATTCACAGACAAATATAGAGCCTAAACTAATTTAACATTTACACAAGAGATGAATCCTAAGCTACGAGGCTCAAAGATTTAAGAATCTTTTCAGCTTAAGAGAAGCAACAGATTTAAAAATGTCCAAAGACAGTAAAACAAAGGTTATTTGAAGAAGATTTGTCGGACAGAAATAGAGAGATGTGGAGCCGTTCCTTGCCAAAGGATTAAACTTAGTGGCTCCACGACTGAAAACTCATTCATGAGGAAAATAACCCCAAGCCTCAAAAGCCAAGCACCACAGGATCAAACTGCAAGAAACTGTGGACAAATGTTCAAAAGTAAGCAATCCTCACAACATTATGGTAATGACAAAACAAACTGAAATGCCAACTGTAAAGCTTTGTAGGAACAAAGGCTAGAAGACCAGAAAGCTTAATAACAAGAAAATTCTGAAGACAGAAAATGTTGTTACCTTTCCTGACACTTCAGCTTTCCTTGCTCCCAAGACACATAAAGATAGCAGGTTTGGGCAGATTAGAGAGAAAACGATTAATTTCTGTTTCTTCAAGAGATATTCCAATTTAAGTGTCATGTCTAACACTAGAAGGGTGTATTTTTTTGTTTTCTCTCAGTATGTTTGTATTCACTGCAACTCATCAGTAAAACTTTTACATTAAGAGTCACAATGCAGAAAGAATATTAAATGCAAGGTGTTTTCTCAAGCTAAAAAACCCCACTAGAAACTCACAGTATGTAGGCAGACATAACTGCCCACAGTCTCAGTCGCACTGGATCAGGTCAGACCTCCAACCCTCCCCAAAACTTTCCAATGCTACTGCCTCACAGCTTCAGGGCCATGGCTGAAGGGTTCAACTGCCGGAGCTGATGACAGGCAATGACAGCTCTCCACTGTATTTGTCTCTGGCAAATCTGAGTGCAGAAGTTACTATAAAAGAAGACCAAGGTTTATAGCTGAATGTAGCTTTAATAGTTTTTAAAAAATAATAAATTAATTGATAATTTTCTCCTCAATGCCTAGAACTGCAGACCTAGTGCTCACATGGTTTTAACAAATTTCCATATCAGCAAAAGTACCTCTCACCCCCAAGTCCCACCTCCATAATGTATTACACACACATTTTCCTTTAAATGTCGTTATGGAGTGAAATGGTTCTCCTTAAAAATCCCACCCATACAAGCACTTTTTGCAGAGTTACTTT